CCTAGTTGGATGAATTTCGCTAATGAGCTTTGAGTTTTGATTCACCCGAAATCGCGTTTCTGTGCTTTGCTGGATCAGAGCTGAGGACTACGTATGCTCAGATCAGCTCTCCATGAGATGCTAATTAAATGTTGCATCGTAAATGATAGCTCATATAACCTGTAGCTATGTTTCGACGAGTCTTTCGAGGAGGTAAATTCCCTCCCCCGAGCGGGAGTGATACAGGGGACGGGGGAGAGGAAAGAGAATCACATGGTTTTCAAAAATATGTTGGTGATTAGTGTGGTCTGCGCAGGTATTCATCGACGTACGGCATAGGTGTCATGCGGACTTTCTTGGTCTTTTCTACTAGGTGCAGTTTCGCGACAGTGAGCTGGTAGTAAGAGACGCAGACAGTCCGCAATTACGTCCAAGTCATGCGAAGATGAATCATGAGAGTTTATGTGTAGTGCTGCTTGGTGATAGTATCCAAATTATTGATCGAAACAAGTTTTTTTTCTTTTTACAGTTCCGTCGGCATAATTCACAAGCTCCATACGTACAATGGCGAATGGCACCTCCGATGAAGCAGCCTTTAGTACCGGTTCAGAAGAAGCACGGTGTAATACGTCGAGCAAGTGAACGACGTCCAATGGCACCAGCACGAGCCTTAGCTGAATTTGTGCAGTGAGCTCTTGATGAGTGAAAATTTAAAGAGAAGTTTTATTTCCCACACCTTTGCCTAATTTTTTTATGCATTTCCTTTCCATTAGACAGAACTTAAAAAACTTTTTATTATTCATTTACACGTTTGCTATGATTTCTTATGCAGGCGTTGACTGCAAGTTTAATTTTGGAGGATCTATTTTTTACGTGGTGTTTTGGCCAGTAGGTGTACTGATGAATTTTTTCAATTTTTTTTCTCTTAGTCAACAAATTTTCCACAATATCTTGAATCTGCACATCCGAGCAATGAATCAATATAGTCTGGTGTTTATTCGCTGTGTATCTATTTATTTATTAATTTTTAGTAATGTATCGGTCTCTCATAAATTAACGTTCCTATGTATCTACTGATGAATGTATGATTATTTGCCATCGATACCGTTGCCTTGTTCACTTAAAGTAGCGTATCTTGCACTACTTAACACATATGCATTGATTACATGGTCCGCATTTGAGATGATGCTACACATATATAACAGGTTAATGAAGATATTATCAATTGTTTGCGTTTCTCTGCATCTGCAAGGTTTTCGGGTTTACAACAATTAGGTTAAAACCCCATATTCACTGAATGAATTGTGGTTACGTCAGGCCTTAGGCACGCGCCATAAAGGATATTCGTTGACGACAGCCCCGTTTCGTGCAT